ACTACGCATTGTATCTCGTTTATGATTGTTTTTGGGTCCAATTTATGTTGTGGTTTCGTGTTTTGTTTTCTGTGTTCTTGGTATGGTGGTACTGGAGCTCCTTTTTGCTTGGCCTGTTCTTTTGATTACTGGGTTGAACCCTAGTCCTACGCTTGGGACTATGGGACATATACAATGAGGACAGAACTGCCTGGAGCAGGCCTTGGTCTTTTACCAGGGGCATGCTGTTTGGGATCTTTGTACGTGGTTTCTTATGGTTTTATGTTGAGGATTTCCTTGTGCTTTGGAAAACTATATGTTGGACTTGGTGGAGCTATGGAACTGCACTGCAAATACCCCACAGTGACCCCGTATATCCAAAGTTCTTCAAATCACATGAAAATCGAGCTCTCAATAATGGAGGCGGGGGTTTCTCTCTCTAGAGCCTGCGATGAACAGTGTCCCGCAGGGGGCTTTCTCACCGTTTCTCCATCAATTTGAGAGCTTTGCTTCAGATTTTTGGATCTCAGGGTGCGCCTACAGCGGGTGAATCCTTTATTGAGGTTATTTTGCTGTTTTTGGGATTGGATTTTGGGAGAACCGAAGGTCAACGCTTCGCGTTTACTATTCATCGACGAACTAAATTGAAGATTTATGGCGTCTGAAGCGAAATTGATGGATTCTGTTCAAGGATTATGAGCGAAACTGTCTAATAATCTAAGGAATCCCTATTACAAGATTCTATGGGTGGTGGTGCATGGCGTTCTTAGTTGGTGGAACGATTTTTCTGGTTAATTCCGTTAACGAAGGAGACCTCAGCCTGCTAACTAGCTATGCGAAGGCATCCCTTCGTGGGTAGCTTCTTAGAGGGACTACAGCCTCTTAGGCCGCAGAAGTTTGAGGCAATAACAGGTTTGTGATGCCCTTAGATGTTCTGGGCCGCACGCGCGCTACACTGATGTATTCAATGAGCGTATAGCCTTGGACGATAGGTTCAGGTAATCTTTGAAATTTCATCGTGATGGGGATAGATCATTGCAATTGTTGGTCTTCAACGAGGAATTCCTAGTAAGCGTGAGTCATCAGCTCGCGTTGACTACGTCCCTGCCCTTTGTACACACCGCCCATCACTCCTACCGATTGAATGATCCGGTGAAGTGTTCGGATCGTGGTGATGTGGGTGGTTTTCTGCCCGTGACGTTGCGAGAAGTCCATTGAACCTTATCTCTTAGAGGAAGGAGAAGTCGTAACAATGTTTCCGTAGGTGAACCTGCGGAAGGATCCCTGTCGAACCCCCGCGGTAGAATGACTTGCTAACCTGTACCAATTATTGATTCGAATGTCGGGGTGCTGTCTTTCTGATTTGCCCACGACGAACAAAAACACTGGTGCAGCAGCGCCAAGGAATATAATAATGAGTGTGCAACCTCGCAGATCTCAGTTATGCTGCCTGTGAGCTTTGCATCCTTTTAATAAGAATGACTCTCGGCAATGGATATCTCGGCTCTTACATCGATGAAGAACGTAGCGAAATGCGATACATGGTGTGAATTGCAGAATCCCGTGAACCATCGAAACTTTGAACGCAAGTTGTGCCTCAAGCCATTCGGTTGAGGGCACGTATGCTTGGGTGGCATGCATTATGTCTCCCCTCTCGTGTGTGGAGTGGGAATAGATCCTGGCCTCCTGGGCCCTTCCTTGGGCGTGGTTGGCCGAAAATGTTTTTCTTGATTTTGTTGATGTCTTGGTGTGCGGTGGATGTGCGAGGTGTGCATAGTTGCCAGCCTTGCTTGGCTTCATTGTGGCGTCGGAATCCTATGAAGCTGCCGGTTTTGGCTCTTTGATTGCGACCCCAAGTCAGGCGAGACTACCCGCTGAGTTTAAGCATATCAATAAGCGGAGGAGAAGAAACTTACAAGGATTTCCTTAGTAACGGTGAGTGAAATGGGAACAACCCAGCCTTAGAATCGAATGGTTTTGCCGTTTGAATTGTAGTATGGAGAAGCGTCCTTAGCGGCGGACTTGGCCCAAGTCCCCTGGAAAGGGGCGCCGGAGAGGGTGAGAGCCCCGTCGGGCCTAGACCCTGTCGCACCACGAGGTGCTGTCTTAGAGTCGGGTTGTTTGGGAATGCAGCCCAAATTTTATGGTGAATTCCGTCCAAGGCTAAATATAGGTGAGAGCCCGATAGTGAACAAGTACCGCGAGGGAAAGATGAAAAGAACTTTTAAAAAAGAGCCAAAGAGTGCTAGAAATTTTCGAGAGGGAAGCGGATGGAGACCGGCGATAGGCCCAGGTTGGATGTGGAACGGTGGTTAGCCGGTCTGCTGATAGGCTCTGGGTGTGGATCAGCGAGAATTCAGGTGGCGGTTGAAGCTTGGGCATTTGATATGCTAGGGGAATGCCGTCTCTTGTATTGTGGGAAGTAGTGCGGGCCCCGCGTGTGCTTCGGCACCTGCGTACTCAGGTCGTTGACTTGTGGGCTCTCCATTCGACCCGTCTTGAAACACGGACCAAGGAGTCTGACATGTGTGCGAGTTGGCGAGTGGAAAAACT